TTTTTTTTTTTTTTTTAATATAAATACAATATGCATCGATATAATTTTTTCGCCCAAGCTTTTCATAAGTTTTTCAAAACACGCACGAAACAATAATTAATAATTTGCTTAGAAAATTCCAGCTAACCCATTATTTTCCATGGTCAGATCATCAACTTCTTAGGACGTATAGGAACTTACGTGGTTCTGGCATCGTTATGCATCACAGCATCTCTGAGACCTTCGATCGAAGGCGCTTTCTATTTCCTCATCTTCTTGGGAGCTTCGACCTGGTGGGCGTGCAACAAAGAGCTTCGAAAAGGGTTTGCCAGGCTGTGCAGGATCTTAATGGCAGTCGTGGTACTTCATATCGTGGTTCTGCTCAGCTACCAGAATCAAATACCTCAAGAATTAATACCCATGAACAGCACTTGGCAACGATACTTTGCCCTGATTCCTGTCTATCAAATCAATTGCTCCACTCCAAGATACGTGGAATACACCGATCATACAGATTGGCTGATTTACGGATACTCCCTGAGACTGTTCTGGCTTTATTTCGTTTTGGCGTTGCAATCACAGTTCCTGAGCAAAAAGCCGGTGAGTTTATCGTTAGTGTATTTTTATTTTTATTTTTATTTTCTTTGCTAATATTGCGAATATTTTAAAATCGAGATAAACGTGAACTAATTAATCGACGAGTCAAAATTAAACGATTAAACGATAGTAGAAGAACGTGACGAAAGATTAATAACGCGAGGATTATTAATTGGTCGGACGAAAATAACGAGTTTCTGTCGAATTAAAATTTTAAATAATACTGTCAAGTTTGAGATATCAGTTGAAATACTTAGAACGGCGAATATTCAGAAGTTATCGATAATACAATAAAATTTACAATTTAATTGAAATTCATCCAAGCATGAATCATTTTAACGATGCAAGTCGCGTGCAATGTGCCTGTTAATGTGACTTAATTAACCTTCTTACGGTTAAGGAAAAAACGATTAACATACCAATATATCGGCTGAATAACACGACTTAAGCTTGTAACGATCTATTTTTACTAACCGTTCGAACAACAAGTGTATCTGGTAACACACGTGTCTTTCTTTGAAGAACGTTGCTTTTACTAACGAGGCGTTCCAGGCAAAGAAAGTGAAACGTTTGAGCGGGAAACTGGAGAATCTGAACACTCCATTGTCCAGGCACGTTTCCATCAGGAGAAGGACACCATCTCAAAGATGGCAATCGGCGCGAAGAAAGGCTCGCGTAAGGATCTCGTCGTCCTGCATGAGCCGAATTTTCTCTTTTTTCTCCCTTTTCTTCTTCTTCTTCTTTCTCTCTAATCACATTTTTAGATCTTCGATTGTACATACAATTTATCACCGATTTTATTTTACATTGTTGAACATCGATACGATCATACATACGTGCCATTGTTCATTTATCATGGTAAAAGAGAGAAAAAAAAAAATGTAAATTTTATTATGGAATGTTGAACATCGGTATGATCGCTTGTACATTTTTGTGCCATCACTATATAACTTATCATGGCAAAAAGAAAATGTATATATATCATTATGAAATGTACATACAATAACCATACCGTGAAATTAATAATTTATATTATTTATTTATTTTATTTTATTTTATTTTATTTTTTGATTGGCGAAGGCGATAAAAATTATGGAAGAAGAAGGTATAATAAATTTATGTTAAGATCATTTTGTTTTTCACCGCCTCCATTCAGACAACTCCCGAGTTTTTATTTACTATCGCCTTCCAGATTTGCGGTTGTTCTTTAATGCTGAGCAAATTCCTTTTCCATTTGGATGCCGCTATGTTTAGTTTGCCATTGTTTTAGAAGCCGATCGTTAATTCATCGTTCTCACCTGTCGACGAGCGCACACCCGTACGTATAATGATTAAGTTTGCACGTTTCACTTATATACAGAAATTTTATTTATTTAATTTTACTTTATTTCTCTTATTCGATCAATTTTGCTTTTATCTTATTCAAACATATTCTTTCTCCTTTGTTTATATTTTTTTCTTTTTTTTTTTTTTATTTAAATAATCGATACATATTTTGGAAATCTTTATGTAGCTATTGGTGAAGGTAAATCCACTTCATTTATACACAGCATGCATGCACACGCTTGGAGAACGATTTTGTTTCACGAATAATATATATTTAATTCAAATTTAAATTGTTTAGAATAAATCAGAATAAAAATTAAGATTATTAAATTATAAAGATTATTAAAGAGACGATAAAACGCTGTGTAGAGATATTCAGAATGTTTATTTTTACATTCGGAGAATATTTTAATTAATTTTATCGATAGTTGATGCGATTTGGGTCCGGGAGAACGGGTCTACTGCAAGATTCAACCGGAAGCGTCATCGTCCAGGATGGCCATCAGGATGACAACATTCAGATGCAAAGTCTCAGCGATGGTTTGTTAAATTAGTTTCCATTGAATAAAAAAATAAAATAAAATATATTAATCGATTAAATATTTTTCTAGCTTGCCCAGATGAACAATCCGGAGTTATCGAGCATATCATCATGGCCGTATACTCGATCTTCCAGTTGATAATTAATTCGTCTTATCTTGCAACGAATATCATAATGATGGTAGAAATTAACAAGCCAGATATTTATTAAATTTTCCTTGAAACTTGAAATTATTTTAATTTATTTTATTTTCTCGCCTATTATTATTAGACGTGGAGTATAATGTATCACAGTTGGACAACTTTTGCACTCTTATTATGGGCATTGATCCTTTGGATGGTCCCTAATAAACGCGCTTTGATGATGAAGTGCTCTCCCTTCATCGTTTTTTACTCAATGCTCCTTGTCATCGTGCAATACGTCTATAGCATGGATTTGACCGAAGAAGAATTACCAACGCAAATAAACGGGATACAAGTGTCAGAAATCGGTTTCATAAAAAC